AGTAGATTTAACATATACATCTAACATCTCAAAGACTCATAGTTAAAAAATATTTGAGAATCACTGCAATAGCGTGTAAATATATCTTCATAATTTCATACATAGAACAAAATTTAATTAATTATTAAACGCTTAGGCTGCTAACGAAAAATGTTTAATATATACACAGGTATCGAAAGCATTACAAAAGGTTTTTTTAAATTATAATAAATAATACGTTTGAACGAACATCGGAAGATGAAGAGTGGAGTGATTATACGGACGCAGTTATTTGCTTCGACGCGAATCGTCGTACATATTAGAACATTAAACAGATAATATTATATTGTCATTGTTGTGTGCATTTTTGTTTTACGTTCATTTTCCATTATATTTAATCGAATTATAATTAAATGTTTTTTACGCTGATAAAAAATTGATTTGTTCTCGGCAGGACTCGTATTTTTTATCATATTATTTTTTCGTTATATGTTGTCAGAAACTTGTTTAAAACTATGGAACATGAACGACTAGAAAATGATCATACAAATTTAAACAGAACGTACAAAAAAGTAATTGTCAAACAATTTAATAGGATGGCCGTTTTTATTTACTAAATATACATCCATATGTGTATATAGACTTCAACGATGTTGGTTTAAGTAAATGGACTTGAATAATTATTTAAAAACTAGGCGCAGACTACAGTATCTACTGATGTTCATAGTATGGTACTAATGTACTTTGTAGTTTGTCCACTATAATATTGTCTATCCATAGTTATACTTACCAGTAAGAAAAATCAAATGTGATGTGATGAATGATAGCTATGACCTTGCACAGGAGATTTCATGATCAGTATATTATAATTTATATCTTATAGTTACCATGATGTAATTTAAAAACGTATCATCAGTGTTCGTATTACGTTAACATAATTCTGACATAGAATATAAGTAATAATTATTTATAATCACTTTTTGGTCAATACCATTTTAATGCTAAAAATCTTCTTTTTTTTTTTTTTTAAATTACACCAATTGACCAATAATTAGACTTACAAAGCAGCAGATAAGTGAGATTTGTAAAATTTATTAAAGAAAAAATTCCACGCGACTAAAAAACTATTAAAATTAACCTTAATATTACCATTAATTTTTGTATTATTTTTACCATATTATCCAGTATAATATTAACAAAACAAATATGTTGGGACACTATCTATAATTGTTGTGTATTATCATCAAGGAATCGTTAAAATTATATTGTAATATACAGGTATATTACATTTTTTTTTTTAATTAAGTGTGATTAATTTGACTGTATAAATTAAAATTATAATCTTAGAATAGAAAACAACTAATTTTTTTTAAAAAAAATACCAATATTAAATTTGGCATCTGCTTTTTCGTATGATAAATAATAGTATGATACTATGAGTATACTATGAGTACTATGGTTCGTTTAAAAATATGACATCTATTTCTACAAATATTAATATAGTTATATTATTATAAAATTGTTGTATAATTATAATAAATTTATATAATAAAATCCTCAAAATAAATATTTTCAACTCGATATTCTAATCTACTTAAGTATATCAGTTTTGTATAATAATTTTGTATTACGTACATAGGCGAATATTTGGTCACATCTGTGGGTGGCTTAACATTTTTGTCTTATCCACAAGGCCGTAGCAAGGGGATGACGAGAGATGTCTATGCCCCGGGCGCAATTCCTTTTGCGCAAAAATGAAAATCTTGCATTTTATGTTAAAAATTACAACGGTCAATGTCTTATATTTTGTTTACAAAATCTTTAATATCCTTCATATTAATTAAAGCAATCATTGAAAATAATATCTAGCATAATATTTTTAAATTAAAAATACATAAGTATGCATTTTGAATTATCGCCCCGGGCGCATTGTTGGGTTTCTATGGCACTGCTTATCCATTAGCGTAAACAGACATTTTTAGCCCACTAACTAGTGGCTGCTCATACTTTATTCTAGTTGAGGCACCAAATATATACAGGTAATAGGAACATAAAAATATAAAATGTTGAATATATAATCATTTTATTTTAATTTTAATAGTATAAATCTTTTCCTTTATTTCCTTTATTACCTATAAACAATGGTTTTCTCTAATTACAATAATTCGTAAATATTCCAGATTTTTTGAAAAAAATTTAAAATCACATTTTAAAAATGCTTCAAATGCTGAGGATGGTCTCTTCTTCTTCTTCTGGCCTGTTAATACGGACCATTAAGGTCCGCTGCCGCTTCCACAATCCTTCTCCACTGATCCCTATCCGTTGCCATGTCGATGCTGAAGGTGTTGTTTATTTTTAACAGGTCTCTCTTCACCGAATTAAACCATCTTTACACCAGAGGTCTCCCCAGGGGTCTCCTTCCAGTTGACTTCCCCATCATAACATTCCGTATGAGGCATTCTTCTGTCCGCCACACGTGGCCTGCCCATTTTATTCTCTGACTACGAATGAATTGACATACACTTAGATTGCTAAAAAGTCTTTGTTCTCGTCATTTCTTCTTCTTTCGAATATCTCTAAATTCACATTATACACTGGCCCATATATTCTCCTCAAAATTTTCCTTTCGAAACTTGAGAGTTTTTCTTCATCTCCTTTTGTACTCGCTCATGTTTCATTTGCATACGTTAATATGGGGCACAAATATGTAATATATAATCTCTCTTTCGTTCGGCACGACAGAAGCTTTGATAAGAACATCTCTTTCATAGCGTAATATATTAAGCTATAGCTTCTATTCGATGCGCACATTCTAATCTTGATTTCGTTGTGCATATTATTTTTCTCGTTAATACTTATACCCAGATATTTAAACTCTTCCACTTGCTCGAATGATTATCCATTTACCTTGATATTATTCTTTGGAATCACCTGCCTTGACATAACCATATATTTTGTATTGGCTTCATTAACTAATAGATGGATGGTCTACAATTTTCTTTTTCTCTTACCCATTTGGATTTCTACAATACATATTCCGAATTAAACTGTTGATGATCCGAAAGTATTATCTTGTAAAAATCCCATAAATGAATAACATCTTTCTCATTTGTAAAAACAACTTTATTCTGCATAATATTTTGAAAATATAAATTTAAATCAAAATGCTGTTCAAACTTACTTTTTAAATGTGTTATAGAATGGTCAAGAAATGGTATAAAAAGTGCTTTTCTATAATATTTTTCCGGTGTATAAACTTTATAATTGTTTTAATTAATTTGTTTTTTTGAAAATCTTGGTACCCTCATTGTGCCACCTACATCAGTTAAAGTTTTTGAAGCCGTAATAAATATTAGGTTAAATTTCATCTCAACATTTTGACGAAGAGAATTTAATGAATCAATGACAACTTAAACATGATCACATGCTTTGGTAAGATCACAATAAATTTTTTTTAATTATTTACAAAGTGGAAATGTTAAAGATAAAACTTTTTCAGTTACGTTTACTAATAGTTGCTAGAAATGTATGTGCTTTTTGTGATGTTTCGTTATTTATTACTTCTCGGAGTTCTTCTAAAGTATTTATTATCGAAATGTACATTTCATGTAATCGTTTTATGGACTCGTGATTTTGAGCCCATCTGGTTTCACACATTGAAATCAATCTATCATGATTGGATTCTGGTAAATATGATTTAATATGTGTTTTTAATATATTCGTGCGTTGGGCAGATTTTTTAAAAAATGATTTAATAGACCGAACAGTATGTATGCAGTTTCTAATCATGTGAGTTTGACAGGCATAACCAATTGGTAAGTTTAGGGAATGAGCGCTACAATGAACATACTCGTACAAGGCTTTTGGATATTCAGAACGAATAATAGCTTGATGCTGCTCCATCGTAACCTTGTTCAATCATATAATTCAAAATAATTTCATTTTCTTTTAATCGTGTTATAATTGTTAATGCTAATCCACGGCCCGTCATATCATGAACATTCAGGGATGGCGTGAGGGGGTGGGCAATAGGGGCAGTTGCCCGGGGCCCCGCACCTTAAATTATAATTAAGGCCCCGCGGTTCTGATTCAACTGAACTTAAAATATTTTATTAATATAAATTATAAGAACCAACATTAATTTTGCCCAGGGCCTCGCAAACTCTAGCACCGTCACTGTGAACAGGAATGAATTCGAGGGAATCTTCACGAATAACATTATTTATTACATCTATGTATTTTAAACATAACGACATTTGCTCAACATAAGATGCATAGGCGTAAACTGAGGGGTCGAGGGGGGCAATTGCCCCCTAGAATAAATTAGGAGGGGCAGTGTCCCCTCTGATATTTAACATACCTAGTTTTAAAATAAGTACAAAACAGCTGGTTATAGCTATTAATATAACATTATTTTTAAATCTTAATTTTCGCTTACCTAACATAATGTTAGAAAATGAATAATTTTATATAATAATATGTAGGTAGTTAAGCGGCGTTTAGCCTCGGACACCTTTTTCGTTAGATATGTAATTATATTTTTGCCCCCTTAATAAATTTACAAGTTACGCTTACGATTAGATGTATCGGTTGTTTCGTCAGCTAGAACCGCAAAATATTTAGAATTGTTTGCATTATTTACAATTTTTTTTTAAAAATATTTCACTACATACATCGATGAATTCGTGTTGAGTAGAGACTTGTATATTGTAATCTACTATTTTCGTTAATAAAATGATCTTCTAAGACAGTATCACCTGTATCGTTATGTATAACGACGTTATATATTCGAAATCGTAAAAGCGATCTAAATGTACTACCGTTTTTATTATCACAGTGAAGAACATTACCAAAATTCAATTTTTCCTCTTAATGGATTTTGTAAATGTCTTCTGGTAGAGTCCCTCTCCACTATCAAGGCACTCCAGTTTCTTGTAAATGCACACATTTATCAACCGTAGAACTGATTGGAAAGAAATTGGATAGCGTCGATAACAATTGATAAGAACTTCAACAATAAATGCGTTCTCCCGCGAATTCGATGATAACAGCTACTGAGGTTTAGCCCATTGAGTTACTCTACGGTTTAGCCACAAATTGAACAATAGCATAATACAACCGCGATAACAGCGAAGAAAATAATTAATACTTGGTATTATTTTTAAAACGCCGCGAAACACGTTAACGTTATCGGCATTTTAAGAGGTACATGCGAGCTCGTGTTTATGTGACGAACTAAACCTATATTGACAACACATCACTAGTTTTTCATGTGTTTTTAAACATTCAGCGGGGAAAATCCGAAATTATGAGCTTTCTAGCCGCCGTGTTGGCCTCTGCAGGTACGTCTGTCTACGTTGTCGTTGTATTCACTCATACTGATTACATTTTGAATAAGACTCAATCAATGTCGTTCTGTTAATTGTTACCATTGTTTTTGTTCGTGTTGTTGCTGAAGGCGAAGTAGAAATGACCGATCTGGGCAAAAACGTGTCCGAGCTCAAGCACAAAATCTCTAGTCTCGAGTATGATATCAAGGATGCAATGGAACAGCGTTACATGAAATTTGCATTGGTGTCCAAAGATGCTGCCTCACTGTTGGATACAGCCCAGTCATATTCAAACAAAATCAATGAATTAATATCTCGAATCGATAATCAGGTTCTTTCAGAAAAACATAAATTAATTTTATTACCTACTCATATTAACTTTATCTATAATTAAACAATAATTCAAGAAATATAAGTATTATCAAGTATAACATTTGAAAAATATTTACAAAAATATGTTATAATTTATTATTTAACAACTGTATATTCTTAAATTATTTTGTATTTATTATGGTTTCATAACTATTTAACATACATATTGCACTGCGTATTGTTAATGCTCATCTGGTTTAACAGTTTTCATTTGATATTCATTCATTTCATTTTGTATATTTATTTTTTAATTTAAAACGTACAATATTTTAAGTCACATGATAAATAATTCTCTAATAGTCAATTGATTTTCAATATAAAATCATCAATAACATTAGTAACGAATAGTTTTAAACTATTGTTCATTTATGATTATAATATTTATCACTATTGTTTATTTGATCATTTATATCAATTAATATTCTTTTTTTTCAGACTAAAAGAGAAGTTGCAGATGCAATGTCTGATTTGAAGATGTTCAAGTCTGCTTTAGAAGAAAACAAATATAGCTTGAATGTTATAGAACAAGTTCTTTCAGCAAGTATGAATCTTTCAAGTGATACTCAAACTAAATTATCCTTGGCTGAAAGAATAAGAAGTATGCAAATTGCAAAAGAAATTTTAACAAATAATGAACATTTATCAAAACTGGATGTTTACAAACATTTAATAAGAGAACATCAAAGAGTAACTGATGTTTTACATTCTAAGTGTGTAGCAACATGGAGAAAACAAATTGAATGGGTTGAAAATAATACAGATGTTCAGGAATCGTGGAGAGTAATGTTAAAAATAACTGCTAACAAAGAAGATATTTGTGATAGTATACTTGCATTGCAATATTTTGATAGTCTAAATGTTGAAGTAAAACTATTTGCTGATAAATTAATTAATTTAATTATTAAACCAATTATTATCCAAAATTTACAAGTTGACATTACAAAATCTATTCATGTCTCGATAATGACTCTAAAAGTTTCTAAAATAGAAGATGAATATTTATCTATAACAATAGGAAAGTTAAAGAATGTTTTTAAATTTTTGAATTCAACTCTTCCTATTAATTTCAATGAAATTCATATTATGTCTTATTTGGGATCTTACGCAAGTCAGCAATTTTGCAATATTTTTAAAGATAAAGCATTATTTAATGCTGTTCCTATTAAGTATAACAAACTCATTGACTTTCAGGATGAACTTAATGAAGTACTTGAACTTAACACATATTTAAATGAATTAGGTAATGTTATTAATATCATATTTAATTAATAGTAAATTAAATACTCTAATAATAGTATTTTGAATTATTATTACATTTTCTTACATAAAATGTATTTTGATTTTATAGGTTTTTTTGAAAAATCAAATAATGAGCTCATCAAGTACACAGAAAATATTGATAATTTATTTTTTAATAAAATTAGTCAAATATATTACGATAAAGCAAGAACTATAATAAAAAAAGATTTACATGATTTAGTTGAAGTGAACAATGTAAGTTTCTTTATTTTCCTATAGTAATACCTATGCAATATATAATGTATTTATAATTATAAATACTTTTAGGAAAATAGATGGACTCCAGATGAAGATAATAATGAAGATAATAGTTTTTGTCAAACATTTTTTGCTTATCCACAAAGTAAAGTGAGGTAAATTAATGTTATTAATAAAACTCAATTAATGAAGAGTTTTATTTCATTAAATAGGTTATGAATTTAATCAAAATAACATAGTATTGTTCAATCTTAGAATATTTTAAATAATATTTATAATAACTCATATTGATACCTACTACAAAAAAGATTATTGTTTATCTTTCAACAAGCTTTAAATTATGATTAAAAAATAAAATTATTTTTTAATTTCTCTAAGTGTCATTTTATTGAAAATTAATTATGGGAATAACATTTTGAATACTTACATACATAAATGTGACAAGTTGAAAAGTGTAAAAACAATTTTTTGCTATGAATGTTAATAAAATATAAATTTATTTGTAAGATTAAAAAATGTATGAATTTAGACAAAGCCTAATTTTTTATTGTAAATATTAAACTAAGCATATAATGAAATAGGTAAATGCAATTTGAATCTTAATATTTTTTATTATTTCATTATACTTATTACGATTATTGATACATTTTTTTAAAGGAAATATTTTGTTAATTTTATATTGTTATCTTAAAATTAATTTTGTTATTTACAGTAAGTCATTATTAGAATTCCATAATCTTATTGATGAAGTAGCTTCAGAAATGTCTAGTATACCTGAAAATGATGCTTGGAGATATCATGATATTTTAAACAACATAACAATTATGTACTGTGATATGGTATCAACTCAACATAGTAAAGCATTAGAACTGAATCCACAACAATCAGGTATATTATATTAAGTATTCATTGTACATTATGTAAGTATGATTTCAAATAAAAACAAATTTTATGCACCTTTTAACTACATAATTTTAGCTGTTCTCTACAATAACATAATGTATTTTACGCGAAAATTGGCTGAAATGAGTCCTACGTACAAAAACTTGTTAATTGTCCATTTGCTTGAAAAGTTAAAGAATTTAGCCAGTGAAATACTCCATTCACAATGCAAACAACAAATTGTACAAGTTGAGAAAATTGTTAACCAATCTGGTAAGAATCATTATGAACCAAAATAAAGACTAAAAACTTTTATTTTTGTCTAGTATTATAACATCAACCATAAGAGTAGTTTTAAATGATGCGTAGATTATATTATAATAAACTAATAATTAGGTAGTTTTATTAAAAAAGAACAAATGACTCATTAAAGTTTTACCTTAACTCTTACTCTTGGTACTCTTCTTGAAATAATTTGCATCAATGTTAATAAATGTTCATAATACTGGTGCTGCGGTCTTACCAGATGTCGACTTAATACTTACATTAAATATATTTATAGTAATCAACTTATCTTATATGCGTTGAAAATGAATAAATATTTGTAATAATATGTAAATATGAATATAATTACCTAAATTAATTAATATATTTTTAGATATTACTCAGATGGCTGTAAACTCAAACTTAGGATATTCTGTTGAAAAAAGTATATCTCAGTGTTTTAATCTTCTATCCATTTTGAGTAGTTTATGGAAAGATATTTTACCATCAACAGTGTATTGTAAATTTATAGGTAAATATTTAAATATTATGATTCTGATAATAATTATTTATCAAATTAATCTAAATATAAAATAATGTATATTAAGATATGTATAGTTATTATTTTATTATTATTATATTTTATAGGCTATTCATGTAATGGATTATTTGAATCCATTGTTAGTAAACTATTTGCATTAGAAGATATATCGGCTACTTCGGCTGAACAATATTCATCAATTTTCAATAAATTAATTAAAGACATACCAACTTTATTTCCGGTATTTTAAATAGTTTTTAAGTTATAATAAGATAATCAAGGTAAATAGTAACTATATATTTTGTGTGATTTACTTTAGGAACCCAAAGAAGTTCATAGATATGTTCCTAAATGGTGGCAGTTAAATGAATTGATTTACATTTTAAGTTCAAGCATGAAAGATATTGAAAACCGTTGGGCAGATGGGAAAGGACCATTAGCTAATGAATTAAAAGTAGATCAAATAAGATGCTTGTTGAAAGCTTTATTTCAAAACACTGATAGAAGAGCAGCTTTACTTAAACACATTTCAGCTACTGCATAGTCATAATTAATATGTCTCAGACACAAATTTGTAAGGTCTTATAAATAATCCTTTAACTTTTAACAATTTTAAAAATCTTTTTATACAAATTTTTTCTTGATGTTTTGTAAACTTTTAAAAAATATAAATATTATCTATTATTAATATATTTTGTTAAATTTTAAGTTATGAATGAATTATAATTTTCTATTTTCATGATCTTTTAGTTGTATACTATAAATATTAAACACGTATATTTATAGTTTAACAAATATTCTGAATATTTATTGTTATAAAAATCATTCATTATTACATCAAGGCTTAAATAACAGTAAATGTTAGTGAAAAAAATTATGTCTATTACCCATACTTATTATTATGACAAATGGATTTATTTTGATATAGTAATATTTGATATTTAGTATTTATTTATGTAGATACTAAGAACTTACATGTGAATATAAAATTTGTGTTTAGTTTTAGTAAATGAAAATTAATTTTTATAAATAAAATATATAATAGTATATAATAATAAATACATAAAAATGTATGAATTATATAATAAAATTAGTTTCTACATATAGATAAATTTTACTAATTATCTTTAATTTTAGATTAAAATAGTTAAAGAATAATCATGAGGTGGGTGATATACTTATAAAGTACATAGGCTTCCAATTTCAATAAATGATTTTGTAATTATAAACTAGGTATTATTTGCATTGGATTGCATGGTAGTATCGCAACATCCTAATCATGTGGTCTCTTCCCTAAATTGTTTTCTTTTCGTGGACGCTTATAGAATGATTATGTTGCTGTGATACTTCAAACATCATTTTAATTTGTTTTCTCGTCAACCAATCTTGTCCAACAATATTTCATAGCAGCCCTTCTATAGGTCAGTGACTAGGTGTATCTTTTGGCCAGTAAAAGAGGAACAAGGCCGACACATCACACATAGTATGGCAGAACTGGTGTCCTATTCCCTCTTCACCCAATTTTATTAAATTTTTTACTTTTTCAACGACTAAAATGTCAAATCTTCAGTATAGTGGCAACTTGAGGTAATTTATGTAAATATTAAACTTTATCTTCCATTCAAAATAAGAAAAATATAAATATATATATTTTTTATACCTTCCAAGGTAAAAAATACCATTAAATTATTTTATATCTTGCACCATATACAGCAATTATTGATCAATAATCTTTTTCAGAAATGCTCCTGTGCAGAGTATCCTTGATGTGGTGATATAACCTTTGGCAAATAGTGGTGTATCAAATGAACAGTGATCTAGCCACAAATATATAATTCAACATTTTGTATTATATATTTGTGGATCCAGTAGTAGTTAAACATTTCTCATTCTCGATTGATATTAAAGAATTTGCCAGGTTTGAATGCTATAAACATTTGTAAAAGTAAATATTTCCTTTTAATAAAACTATTAAAATACCTATTACTTTTCACTATGGTTTTTAATACAATTTTATAAAATGCATTCTGTCAATTCTAAAATATATTTTAGATGTTACCTATATACAATTATATAGTTAATTTGTTATATTAATTCTTATTAGATTTATATAGGATGTTTACTTTGTTAAGGACTCAATAAATAAAAGGCTCAAAAAAAAATTGTATAGTAAATATATTAATACGCTGTATATTATGAAACAAAATGGATTAATATTGGTTATTTATAATAATAAAAAATAATAATAATAAGTCAATTAAAAACAAATGTGACTCTTATCATAAATGTCTTAAACAACTCTTTTGGAAATATTTAATAATTATTTGAATCAAACGTACAATTTATTTTTATTTAAACTTATACTTCATTAATAAAATTCTTTATTATTAATTGTATCATATATACTTAATACATTATGCAATTTGATTAATAAAAAAAAAGCTATTACTAAACATTATTACTGATATTGTACTAAAAATTATAATCATATGGAAGTGTGGTAGAAGGGACTCAGTATCATATCATTGTAAAATGTGTAATACGAATTTTTATGAAAATCAAAGGCTGGTACTACTACTGTGCTCTAGAAACAATGGTCAATGGCTGATCAGTAGCCACAGTGCAGTGAAATCTTCTTCTCAATATGCTGGTAGCTAATGCATTTCTTACGACGCTATCACTATTGTTCGGTGCTATCACCGTAGGGCACGAACTATTTTTTCTGAGTGAACCATGCGAACTGTTTTTTGAGCTTTAGGTATAGACAAGCCTGCGTTTTTCCCTTAGTCATGACCACACTGTAAAATATGTGAATTGATTATCATATGTTTGAGATTTGATAACGATTTTCTTAATTTTTCTATGTACCTTTTAGTCCTTGGAGCGCGTAACTGTACATATTTTACATCAAGAACATAAAATTTATTGGGACTCTTCGAAATGGCATCTCGTTTATTAACCGTCAATACGCCCTTTAAGGCTCTAACGTTGAAATCTGGAATCACCCAAGTAAGTATCAAACATAAAGTACACTTACAATCACATTTTGAAATAACTCATCTCGGTACTTATTCACTTTGTTGTACAGGTACCAAAATGTTGGAGGTCCACTGCGGCATCATGCGCTACTCAACTAAATGTTCCAGAAACTAAAGTCACTACACTTGAAAATGGGATGCGAGTAGCAACTGAGGACAATGGTTCGCAAACAGCAACCGTTGGCTTGTGGATCGATGCTGGTTCAAGGTGGGAAACACCATGCAATAATGGGGTAGCTCATTTTGTTGAACACATGCTATTTAAAGTAAATCTTTGTTAATTCTCAGTGTTAAGTGATGAATAATGTTTAATTTATAAATTTGTATTTTTAGGGAACTCCAACAAGATCACAGACTGCTCTTGAATTAGAAATTGAAAATATTGGTGCACATTTAAATGCATACACATCTCGAGAACAAACTGTATTTTATGCTAAAGCTTTGAAAAGTGATGTACCTAAAGCTGTTGAAATTTTGTCTGATATTATTCAAAACTCTAATCTTGGTTAGTTCTTATTCAAAATAAATATAATTTGTTATGGATATTTTGAATAAAAGTCTATAATTTTATCTATTCATTTTACTTATTTTTATATTTTATCATTGTTTTAAATATTTGATGTATTATTGATTTAGAATTAATTTAAAAGCAAAAAATAAGAGTTTTCTCTAATTTATATGATATTATTTATAATTTACATGCTTCAATTGTATCATTAAATGATTTTAATACTAATACATTTTAAATATGATGGAATTACTTTTATAAATTTAGAATTTTACTTTATGATCAACAGGAGAAAATGAGATTGAAAGAGAACGTGGAGTTATTTTAAGAGAAATGCAAGAAGTAGAAACTAATTTGCAAGAAGTTGTATTTGACTACTTGCATGCTACAGCTTACCAAGGAACACCTTTGGGACAAACCATTCTTGGACCAACTGAAAATATAAAGTAAAATATTTATATATTTACCATTCTTAAATTATATAAATTGTATTATTTTCAATTTTAGTTCATTAAAACGTTCAGACCTTAAAGAGTATGTAGATGTATTCTATAGACCATCTCGTTTAGTGTTAGCTGGTGCTGGTGGTGTTAACCATGAAGAATTGGTTGATCTTGCCAAAACATTATTCAAAACCCCTAAAGATTTGAATCTCGATGTTGAAATACCAACTTACACTAAATGCAGATTCACTGGTATTTTATTTTTCTGGCATTTATTCATATTTTTATTTCAAATGATAAACAATTTTAAATTAAAAACTATTTGAATATAGGTTCTGAAATCAAATCTCGTGACGACTCTCTACCTTTGGCGCATATTGCCATTGCAATTGAGAGCTGTGGTTGGTCTGATGCTGATAACATACCCTTAATGGTAGCTAATACTATAATTGGATCATGGGATCGTTCTCAAGGAGGTGGTAACAACAATGCTAATCGCTTGGCTCGTTTTGCTGATTCATTAGATTTGTGTCACTCTTTCCAGTCATTTAACACTTGTTACAAAGATACTGGTTTATGGGGAGCATACTTTGTATGTGATAAATTGAAGATTATGGTTAGTTTACTTATTTAAATACCGCTTCTAATTAATTATGGTTTAATTTTTGTGATATGTATTTTTGTTTAATATATGTTTAGGAATTCACTTTCCATTTGCAAGAAGAATGGATGCGTTTATGTGCATCTGTGACTGAAGCTGAAGTGGAACGTGCTAAAAATGTTTTGAAAACTAATATGTTATTGCAGTTGGATACGTCTACACAAGTGTGCGAAGATATTGGCCGTCAATTATTATGTTACAATAGACGTATCCCACCTCATGAGTTAGAAGCTAGAATCAATGTAAGAATATAAACATTTAAAATAATTATTCAGACTATATTTCATCATTTTTTTTTTTTTTTTGTTTAGAATGTCAGCGCTAAGAACATACATGACATTGCTATGAAATATATATTTGACCGATGTCCAGCTGTTGCCGCTGTTGGTCCAACAGAACAATTAGTTGATTATAATAGGTTGAGAGCTGGTATGCGTTGGGTAGTTTTGTAATTGTATTTAAATATTTTTTTTGTTTTCATTCGTATCTTTTATTATGCCGTTTCTATTATTACATTTTATTATATTTAATTAAATTAAATTGCATCAATAAAGTTCAAAATTATCTAATTATTCCACATACATTTTAAATGAGCCTACAACATTTATGAGAAACGGTATTTAATAAAATTATTTCGGTAATAATGATTTATCTGTAGAACAATACTTAATAATAAAATATAAGTTTTTTTTTTATATTACCTGTATATTTATTAATAAAAACACCACAAGTATTAGTTAAAAAATTATTTATCAAAATTAAATTTGTCATAATAAAGATTTGTTTTAAAACAATTAAAAAAATACTATTAAATAATTTTGCCTATTTAATGTTTTATCAATATGTTTAATATTAAATTTTCAAACTATCTTATTTATATGTATAATAGTAAACATGATATTATGTATAATAGTGATATCAATCATTTTGTAAAATTGGAGGTGGAGAGATTACTGCCAGACCAGGGTTAGAAAAAATTATTCGACTATTTGAACAATCCACAAAAAAAATTTGCTAATTCAACTGAATTTAAATTAAATTACTGATTGAAAGAAACACAAACTAATATTGAATTTATGTATTTATTATATTTGGGATGACAATGAATTATCTATTATCAGTAGGTCTGTGAATTTATGTACTACAGAACCTTTAAAAATGCAATAAAATATGTACTTAAAATGCAAAAAAATGCAATATAAAATGCTAAAGATTATAGCATAAAATTCATTTAAATGGTTTTTAATTTAATTTTTATATTTATATTAATATTAGGTACAGAATATTATACATTAGTACATTAAATCATAAAAAAGTGTTTATTTAATAATAAAAAAAAATAGTAAAAATGTTGATTGATATTTTCGGACATGACCGTTTCGACCAAAAACGTACCCTTCTCTTTTCGGTTGATTCATTTTTCGACCAAATTTAAAATTGATAGATGCACTTTTCGACCAAAACAAAAATTTATTTAATACATTTAAAATAATAAAATAATGATGTACAATTTTTGTCAATAATTATTAAAATATTAATATAAAAAAGAACGATATTTTGTATTTAGCTTTGATCTCATATCGTAATGAAAATTGTTTGCTTTTTTTTTTTCGAAAAATCGGAATTTTAATTTTATAAATGTTAAAGCTTTGCCCCAAGAGGAATTATAGTCTTAGCCTAACCTAGTTTTTGTAAAAACCTTGATAGGTACTGTTGCAAATGGGATTATGCTTTAGGCAAGGCTGTAACTGGGGGGGTCCAGGGGTCCTGACCCCCTCCGAAATTTTCAAAAGTAGAAACACTTTGGGTGGTGAATATAGTTTATTAACTATAAATTGTATTAAATAATAATGTTAGACACCCCCGAAATTGTTTTCCAGTTACGGCCTTGGCTCTAGGTATATACCTAAAATCTCACTACGAGGGTAAAACCCTAAATTGTCATTGGTAGATATATTATAGTAATGGATTATCGAGTATGAATTATTTTTAGGTCACACCATGTACAATGTTTTTGCATGAACACACTTGCCTCCCTCTACCACCCAAAACTAGTTCACCGCCCCCCTACCGCCCAAAAATAGTTCAATACTCCCCAGTGATATTTCACCGCCCACTGGGGGGCGATATCGCCCCCGTTGAGAACCACTACTTTAAATGAATATAATGACAGAGATTTAACCACCATACAAGCATGGAATTATGTGTCTAAGTCTTTTTTTGATGATAATTTTTTATGATGATTACTAAACGTCTCATAGTACACATACAGAATATCAACCAAGGCTGTACAGAATTTACGTATATGTAGAACAGTTGTTTTTATTTATTGATCAAAAATGGATTGTGTATGTGTTTTCGTGTGAACAGATTTTCCATTTTTTAACCGATATATTTATTTTAATGCGTTGGAAAAAGGGATAGTGCGAAAGAAACCTACAGATTCTGGAATTAATCAGAGGAATGGATTAAGGCAGTGGTTCTCAACCTTTTTTTGTTTAGGACACACTATTATCATCATAATTTTCGCGGCACACTCATGCACTGAATCACAACAAAAACTTTGGCTAAGCCAAATCCAGTAAGGTTTTAACTGTGCAGTGTACACTATACTGTTTACCTACGTGTATACCTACAGAATTAATTGACATTTAACTGTTTTATCAATTAGCATAGGCGTACGCAAAATTTGTCCGCAGGGCCGCCCTTAAAAAAGTGAACCAAAGATTCTTGTACTAAAGACTACTAGTATAATTAAATATTTTAAATTTTATGAATTATTTATTTAATTCAATATGCAAATATAAAAATAAATACTATTTATACTTACACAATTTATATCTAAGAAGTCCATATTTACATATTATTATACTATTTACAACTCCATCATTTTGTCCACGGGAGTAAGGTTTTTGAATGTATCAATTACATCTTCAATTTTTATATTATATGCAAGTTCTGATTAGTCTGATTAATAACTAATAACTTTATTACATTTATTCACAGATATCAATTCTATACTATAAGATTAAAACGGACTTCACTTTATTCATGTAAAATGTAAAAATGTTCGCTATCTTGTATAGTATAGATATACATTTAATAAAGAAAAAGCCAGAGTTCGCAGGGGGGGCCGCGGCCCACTTGGCCACCACCATGCGCACGTCAATGTCAATCAGTATTTTCAAATATTAGACATTTTTCGCGGCACACCGGTTGAGAACCACTGGATTAAGGACAATAGATCATTACAAATATTAAAGGATTATGAATGAAATCAGAAATTAGAACCGTAAAGCAAAGAATCTATGTTTGCGTGAGACTTACAAAAAATGTAGTATCGTTTTGAATAAAAGAAAAAATACAAATAAAAAGTTTAGCATATAAACACAGGACTAAAAGTAATAGGCATTGTCAAAGACAAATATGGAAGTTTATTTATTTGAAAATGAAAAAATGGCGAAGGATGAAAGGCATACTTAGAAAAGCTGTATGACGGAGAAGATATTATTGATGAATGAAATTATTTAGAACATGTAAAAGAAGTTCACCCTAATTTCAGTGCTTGACTTGAGGGCGGATGCAAGGGGACGGAGTACCCCAACTAATTTACAGAAACTTTAGCGTCACTCTATTATTATTACGTTATAATTATAACGCTTAACAAGTTTTTTTTTTAAAGCAAACAGAGTCCCCCTTTTTTAATTTTGTCAATTCAGGCACTGCCTAATTCCAAAGGTCTTTCCTTTATAAGAACAGAATTCAATTTGGCACTGAGCGCGTCAACAGACAAAAAGGCAACTGGTATAGATGATATACCTGCGGAAATAATGAAGACCTTGAACGAGCTTACCAAATGAATATTATTTAATATCATCAGTGAATGATACGTAACAAGGAAGTTGCCAAATGACTTAATAAAAAGTAAGTGAATGACAATACCGAAGAAGGAAAACGCTACTAACTGTGCTAATTATAGGACAATTACACTCTTATGAGACAAATCGAAAATATTTCTTAGCATCATTAAAATATGGATTCAGGAGTGAAAAGAAAACTCGAGAAGTGATCTTGGCCCTGAAACTAACTCTAGATAGAAGACTAGACCTTAACTTTATAACATATATAATATTTATACATTTAAGCACTTGATAAAGTAGATTGGATCTTGTTGTTTAGTAGGTACGTTAAAATAAAAAGAATCGATTGGAAAGACGGAAGGATTATTCTGAGGTTATACAAGGATTAAGCAACACTATAAGATATCAATGAAACCATAAAGTGAGCTAAGATAAAAAAGGTATGTTTAAAATATTTTTGGGAATTTCCAGGTTTTCCGTAATGTTTTGTTTGAATTTTTTTCAGTTAGATTTACCGATTATAGGTTTATAGCATATTAGATTACGTTATATTATAATACAGCGTAGGTACCTAATCATCAAAACAAAACCACTGCTTATTGTCTGTTATTATAAATAATAGAAAGTAAGCAATCGTAGACTGATCTCGAAGAATATTATCCTATAATATCAGGGCCGATTTTACCTATTTCAGAGCCTAGTGCAAGAATTATTTTGGCGCCCCTCTCTCATAAACAACCTAAACATTTAACTTAAACAGACAGAATTTGGGGAGCTGCAGAGGCCTATTCATAATCAAAAATGCTTAAAATAAAATTTCTAATTACCATACTTCTCGTCGAGAGGGAGGGGGGGGGTGCTTTGGGACTATTTTGCCTCAGGTTCCAAACTTTTGGTGGCCACAACATCGATTATTTTTTTTCTCCAAATTCCTGATAATAGATACTGAAATTTTCATTGCACGCTATGCTTATGGTTATGCATTGTACAAGTTGGACATCTTCTATGTCCAATATTCGCGAGTTTCAAAATAAATGTCGGTAAGATTCTGTAGCGTTATAAGTTTATTGAAACACCAGATAGAAAACTTTTGTGAATTACGAGCTTAACGGTTTTTATATTCGTATTATCACCGATTAATTATAATATAATTCTTGAAAATATTATGTACTGTTCGTTGGTATTTTGTTATTTGTTAACTTTCAATATTATTATTATTGTCGTCCAAAGGTAACAATTATTTTCATTAATTGTTTATTTCCCATTATCATATAATTTGCACTAACGATAAGAGATTAACACCGGTCAGCTGCAGCCACGATTTTAGATATCTTTAATCATGGCTGCAGTTACAGCCGCAGCAGCTCTCCCCGATTGGTGGTGATACGGCGACGACGATGACGACTACATCTGATCCGTCTTGGTAGCACTGGCCGTTGGCGTCCTTGAACTCGATAAGTCACGTTGGCTCACCTGTCACATTGTCCGATGAACATGAGTGATTTGTTGTAAATTTTGATTATTTTTGTGTATTTTGTTGTAATTATTTATTATTGCTAAAAGTAAAGAACACCGAGTTCTGGAGAAATCGTACTTGGGCCAAGTGTCGTTTTACCTGTCGCTTGTTCTCTTACTCGTGCCCACACGGCCGTGTACAAATACGCATACACAACACTAAACGTATACGGCAAACACATACATACATACGCATACATACGCACACACGTACAAACATACCCCGGGCACGCAACAGTCAAGTAAACCCGACGTCGCCTGTCCGTCATCTAGTCAAGCTTACGAATCGTTCCACGGACAAGACCACTTCAGCCAACGAGATAATGGCCCGTGAAAGAGCCGTTTGATTGGCATAGGGCCGCAAAGACCCTCATTAAAACACGACTCGTCGCTTATACCTCCGCCGCCGCTGCTACTGCTGCTACTACTATTATCGAGGAATGTCTCGTTCGGCTTCTATTATCCTGAAGACATTCGCAGGATGTACGGGTTTGGACTTTGTGTCATCAGTTTAAATCGCATTACCAAGTAGGTACTAGATCCTGTGTCCGCGGAATAACACTTATTCTGTGCTGCTTCTGGAGTGATAACGTTTTTGACCCTTTCAGATAAATGCCCGCGTTTCTCAGTTTTTTGATCATGTACATATCGCAGCGTTTTAAAATTATTTCACATTTTTATACATCTCTGTCTAACCATCATGTTCAATCTAACCATTGAAATGTTTATGTTGATCCATCTAGATTTCAATAAACTTATTTCAGAAGTCTACAACATCATGTCAGATATCCTTAAAAGTTACTTTGTATATTTGTTTTCATGTAACCAGGATTAAGCATGCTGTTTAAAAATTTATTTTTAAATTTTTCATGATCCCATGTTGATTGAATCCTTTGATTAATTTAAAAAATTAATTTAAAACTTATTAAAAGTATTAATTGTTTGAATAATTAGTGGTTATTCAGTCAATGTATAAATGTATTGTAATTGTATATATTTTATTCAAACAGCACTATATCTATCCAAGTTCAATGTCATTATTCCTAAGGAATACTTTCATAACTAAAGAAACTAATCCTACGATTTGTTAAAAATATCTATGCTTAGACTGAAACCAATTGAAATTGTTTATTATTATTGTTGTTTTATTTTTCTTTTGAAAAATATCCAAATGTAGTTTATCTTTAAAAATATCTATATAATTATATTTTTGCCAATTTTATTTTTTTAAATTATATTTTATTGTTATTATTTTTTACTTATAACATTTATCTTTAACACTAAGTTTACTGTATATATACACACATATATATATGTACTAAGTAATTACTTCATGGATATTTCATCACTTGTCTTAATTTTTTTTTTTTTTTTGTTAAAGGTATATTTAAGTTTGCAATTTATATTGACTAGTCGCTACTTAATGCAATCATTCTGGTACGGGACAAAACTGATAACAAATCAATTGATAACATTATCCAACATTTGAAAAAATAATAAAACTGAAGTCACATTAAAAAGTTATTGTAATTTTTGTATATTGGATATGAATTTCATATACATATTTATGTATTTATTAAATAATATTTCTAGTGTACAAAATTTAAAATTTTTTAAAAATAATGCTTTGGTTGATGTCAGTTTTTTTTGTGTTACTAAAAAAGTTACTTGTTATATTATCGTATTTGTAATGTAGTAATTGTATAAAATATGAAGAGTTATGTTGCACTCCTCTGTGCAAAACTTATAAGGTGTCTAATTTCAGATGGACTTTGAGGTTTTGTAGTATTTGTTTCTGGCTTGAATCCAGTCTCTTAATTTTCAATTTCTTTAGGTTTGTTTTTTTGTGAGAAAGCATTTAGAATATTTTCTTCAGTAAAATTTGATGTAGTTATATTTTCATTGATTTTCTACCAATTTTCAAAATCTATCTTCACATTTTTTCTCTTCCTCAATAACTTTTCCATCTTTAAAATAGTTTTCTTATTGTTGTGTCTCTCATTTGGTTTAAATCCATTGTTATAAGATTATATAATAATATGGTTTTAAGGTTTTTATTATTTTTTGGTCATACGGTCTTATTAAGGATGTTGTATTTGCTGGTAAAAATACAAAATAACCGTGTGTACAAGATAGTTGTCAATTAAAACATTTATATTATGTTATTGTTTATCTCACTTTATTAACATTTCATTAAAACATTAAACATTCATTAAAAATTGCTGAAGATGAAAGAATCAATTGTTAACATTTTATAGATATGATAAAAACTAGTTTATTTACATTTTCTTCTTAACAAAAGTTTTTGTTTTTTATATTTGTAAAACACAGGATGTTTATGTATTTTTTTGATATCTTACAGCCTTTTGTGTTTTCATTTTTGAATAAATAGATGTGCTCATACAATAAAATAATTCAGTGTCATTAGCATTCTAAACATTATCAAGTGTATATTCTAGAATCATTTTTAATCAGATTTTATTGCAATTTTCTACTGTCGAAAAATGTGCTTCTTTCTGGTTTTCGTACGTAAACAATTTTATTGTACTGATCAAAACTACTATAACTATATACAGTAATTAATGAACCAAATCATTTAAAGTTTTTAGTATTATTAATTACTTTATTTATAGATATTAGTCTATAGGATAAATATTGACCCTGTGCACTTTGTTGTAAATTACTTGTTACTATTGTTTTTATTTTGTTCAAGATGATAATATCTTTAATAATTATTTGTAATTAAAACTATGTGTTTTGATTTTATTTACAGAACTTAAATATCGATCTTAAAGATGGCAGATTCTGGAGATAGTGATAGTGACACAGATATAAACATGTATAAACCTCAAAAATCAAATGTTAGTTTTGAATTATTAATGTTTACTTATTTATGATAATTTATTTATTTTTTTATTAATACTTATTATTTTGTAAATAGATTATTGAAAGTGATGAAGAAAGTTCATCAAGTAGTTCTGATGGTGAATCTGATAAATGTCCAATATGTCTTACTCGACTGGGACAACAAGATTTAGCTTCTCCAAATTCTTGTTTACATACATTTTGTTTAAATTGTCTTACTGAATGGGCAAAAGTAAAATATATTCTATCAAAATAGAAAATTAAATAATAATTTATTTATCAATTTAATTATTTTTTATTAGAATGCAAAAACCTGTCCTATTGATCGTTTGGATTTCAAATTCATTATTGTCCGGAGTGTTGATGGACAGTTATTACAAGAAATCGACATCAGTCTTAAAAACGAGGAAGAAAAAAATCATACAAATGCTGATGACTTAACTTATTGTGAAGTAAGTTTTTGTTTTGAAAGTTTTAGAATTTTATGTAGTGATAATTGATTGTTATTGAAAATCCAAACATTTGTTAAGGTTTGCCATTTGAGCAACCGTGAAGATGATATGCTATTATGCGATATTTGTGACAATGGGTATCACATGGATTGCCTTGACCCACCTCTTTTTGTAGTACCATTAGAGGAATGGTATTGTCCACAGTGTCAAGCAAGAGAAGAGGTTAGACCTGATATTAAAAATTATACACTTGGGCTAACTAATAATATTAAAATATAAATATAAAATTTATTTTGTTTTGTTGCGTTTTGGTATATTGTAGTATTAACAATTACATTTTTTTGTTTGTTCCAATAGCTGAGTGATAATGACATAGATCGTGAAGAAATCATTGATCTATTAAATGATTTAGGTGATGATGAGCAATTACCTAGACCTAGGCAGTCCAGAATACGACAACAACAACGTTTAGTTCCACGTACTAGAGCTAGTGAACGAGTACGAATGAATACTCGACGACTACAACAAAATACAATGGTTCATATTTGATTTTAATAATATTTATATATTTATATATTAGTTTAAATGTAATTATTGTATATTAAGGCTGCTGAAAGTTCTGTACAAACAAATACTAGTGGTACGAGAAAAAAAAAATATTCTAAAAAGAGAGTCCGAGGAAAAAAGCGATGCAAAAAAGTAACATATAATTTTTGTTTAAAATAGTAATATTGTTAACATTGATGATTTTATAATTGTATTTTACTTCAGGGTAAAGTAATTTCAAGGAAGAAGAATACTCAATTAGCCGAAAAATTAGAGATGTGTTCCTCAAGATGGAACAAAAATTCCTTTGGAGATAATCGTTCATTAAGTATCTCATCAAGTTTCGTTGATCATAGATCATTAAGTATATTTGGAAATCCATATGAACTCGATTATGTTCTTGAAGAGTGCGTAATTAAAACTAATGTTTTAATTTAGTATAATTGTATTAATTATTATTTTAAATTTTAGGTCAGATAATGAACAAGACATTGGTGGTGATGGGCCTTTAAATATGTCAACAATGTCTCGATTACGTACTTCAACAAGAGGTTTGATATCTCGTAAAGAAATAAGTGAAATTTTACGTCGACCCGTTCGTAGAAATATAAACATATCACATAACACTGATTCAATCAATATCTTAGATTCTATTTTAAGTGTACAGGAACAACAATTTAAAAAAAAACCTATTGAAAATGGAATGCAAAATATTGATAAGCATATAACCCAAACTCCTATGTATTCAGATCATAGAACTGACAGAAACTCTGATAATGTTAACAATTATTCAACTAATCGCAATATGAATAGGAACTATCCTCGGAACAATGATCAATCATACTCTGGTATGGGGAATTCAAGCTCATATGAAGAATCTCGATTGACTAATGAACAGAATTTTAGTGAAAATCAACCTATTAATCCTTTTCCTTTTAGAAATACTGGTCCTATAAAATTCCGGATGAATGTGACGAAAATGGGAGAAAGAAAACAACCACAGACTCCTCCTAAAGTAGTTACTACTGAATATAATGTAGAAGAAGAGAGTGGTCCTAGTACTCGAACAGAAGAAACGTTTAAAGCTCTTGAACCACCTCCAGAACCACCAGCTTTATTGATGGGAATTAATTTGGATGAAGATGATGCCGATAATCTTATAATTGATGATAATGATTATTATGATCCAGAAAATCCCAGTGATAATGATGAAGTAACAGAGATTAGGAGGCCAACTGGAACTGCCTATATGCAGTCACCAACTTATGGAGGTTATATGGAGCAAGTTGTAGAAAACAGATCTATACCCCATATACCTGTTTCTAATAGTAACAATATTTTACGCCCAGTTGATGAAGGTATGACTTCTGAAGAAGATGAAAAAGAGACTAATAATGAATGTCCTAATATATCATTATATTCATCTACTAGTCTTAAAATATCTAGTTCACCGAAAGAATATGGACCATTTTTAGAAAATGAAGAAAGAAAAAGTGATAAATTAGGTGGAGAAGCTGAATTACAATATATTCCTATGCCTCCTATTAGTCCAGAAAGAGATTCATTATCTGAACATGGAGAAAGAAGTCTCAAATCGGAAGATGAATGTTTAGAAAGTATTGAAATTGTGGATTTGGATGATACAAAAATGTCTTCAAATGAAGAAGACAAATGTAAGAATTCTGTTGAAGATGAGAATAAATCCAATTCTGATGATGACATTAATGATGTAATTAATGAGATTCATTCAGACATAGAACGCGAGAGCAAAGACTCAAAAGCTTTAGAAAAAGAATGTTTAGATTTGGTTGAAATTGAATCTGAAGAAAAAAGTGAACCTTTTAATGAATCAAATGATGATGCTGGTATAGATAAAGAAAGTCAAAGTTTAATTGGAGGTGCTACATCTGAAGTATCATGTGCAACATTAAATAGTTCAGATAATGATCATCAACTAAAAGAAGCTAATAATTTAAATTTTGATCCAATATCTGATTCAGAAGAAGAAAAGAAAAAGACAAATAATCAAGGGGAAACATCAAATAGTAATCAAAAGAAAGAGAAATTGTCAAATGGAAAAAATGAAGCAATTATTTCAAATAAAGAAAGCAAAGAAAAAGAGAACAAAAATAAAGTTAAAGAGAAGGAACCTGATAAAGAATCTGTGCCATGGAAAAAATTATCAAAAAATTCTAAAGATAGAAACTATCGATATGGGAAAGGAAAAGAAAAACTGGGTGAAGAAAATGATAAAAAAGAAAAAAAACAAAAGAGAAAAGAAATAGAATTGTATGATGTTCGAAGAGTACTTGAAGATAGGCCTAGACGAAAAAAAGATAAATTTGGAAGAGATTTATCTAAATCTAGTCATACAGATTCAGATTCTAAGGATCGAAGTCGACGTAAGAAACGTAAAAGAAGTCGTTCTAAACAACGAAGAAGGTCTATTTCATCTAGTAAGCCAAGAAATCGTAAACGTTCTAGAAGTCGATATCGTAGTGAATCAAAAAATAGGCATCGATCTAAAAGTAGGCATCGATCTAGAAGTAGACATCGTTCAAGAAGCTCTAAACATTTGAGCAAGTATGATAAAAATCAAGTTATTACAAAAGAACGTTATCGTTCTCCAGCTCTGTATGATGAACGTGAAATATCTCCATTATTATCAAAACGCCAAGCAAAAAAACCAAAAGAAAAAACAAGTATATATTCTAAAATAGAAAAAGATTATGAGCGAAAATTATTAAAAAATGATAAAAACAATAAGAAAAAGCTCAAGAAAAAATCTAAAGATTATCAGTACTCATCTATGTCCCCTAGATCATTATCACCTGAAATTCCTGTGTGGCAATCACCTAGAGATCGTATGAGTCCATGGTCTCATACTGATATATCTCGTACACCCTCACCTGTTTATACACGTCATACGGCAGATGTAGACATGAATTATTCTAATAGAGATCAAGAATTTTCTGAGTATAATGATAACATAGCATTAAATAATTTAACAGTGATAGTGAAAAATGATAATTCTAAAAAGTCTAAGCTTTCTAAGCGACATACTACTCGTCAAATAGCTGCTCCTCCTGTCAAAGAAGTCTTTGCTTCTGGAGACAATATATTGGTCAGTGTTAATTTCAATAAAGAAAGTACTACTGAGCAAACTACCCAAGAACCATTGAAACGTAAACGTCAAGAGATTGTACCAATTTTATCTAAAAAATTGAAAAACAATAATGCTACTACAGTCCTTGACACTACTTCAACAAATCAAAAAACAATGACAAAAAAAGGTTCAAATCCTAAATGGCTAAATCGTAAAAATATTTCAAGGACAATAGAAGTTATTAATGCAAAACCAGTTGCTATTATAGACTTAAATACTTCTCCATTTAGAGAAATAGAGATGTCTCCTAAGTCTGTTATTGTTCTTACAGATAGTGATGAAGACAAACAAGTTACAAAATCAGAAACTAAAAAAGATATTAGTCCAGAAAAGTGTAAAGAAAATGTAACTGTTGAACAAAAACCTGTTGAGAAAAACGAAAACAGTACTCAAACAATTTCTACAATCATAATTGGTGGTCCAAAAACTCCACCAGAACCAGTTAATGCTATTTCTAAACCTGATAACATATCGAATAATAGCTGTGAATTCATTAGTCAAGATGAGAATCATACACAACCTCATGATGTACGTGGTCGAGGTCCAAATACACCACCAGAACCCCCTCGATCTGTAGATACAGTTGTTAGTGAGACTGCATATGATCCTTTTGAACCAACAAAATCAAATTCACCAAGTCCACCTCCCAGAATTGATATGTTTGAAGATGAAGATGATAATGATAATGATCATAATGATACATCTGCACAACCTCTTGAGGAAAATAAAACTACCGATAGTCAATCATCCATTTCTCCTCAGATTGTTGTAAAAACAATAACTCCTCCATTTTTAGAATCCCAAAGTTCCACCCAAACTGATAAATCTCCTGAAAAACTCACCACCAATGTAACAAACCCATCAATTTATACTAGTCCTACTGTAGCTAAGACTCCTAGTCCTGTACAACCAACACCAACAGTAACTAACACTGATGAAATTATAAATTTGGATGATAATGATGATAGTCAAACTACAGAATTTGATAATGGTGCTGATTCACCATACTCTCCCGGTGAAGGATTTGTTGATGAAATGAAAGGTTCATCTCCTGAGAGTCCAGCTCCTCAAAACAAGAACAGTGTACCCACTTTACAGTCCCAAAACAAAAATGAAGCAAGAAGTAAATTGGATACTTTGCTCAGTATACTTCCGCGGTCTAAACCACTTAATGTTTTTGATAATATTGCTAAGATTAAAAATATGAAACTTAAATTTTCTTCCAAATCAAAACGTTAGTATACAATAACTGTTGGCATTATATTTTCTTCAAATGTTAAAATTTCTTTATTGTGATGTTTTTTATTTAATTTTAGATTCAAAACAAAATAACCACATTGAAGATAATGTTGACGATTTACCTGGTTCAGCTGTTGAATTGGAATCGAAAAATAAAAGTGAGCATTTAAGATTAGTCTTGTAAATTATATCAATTTGGTTGGTTGAAAGCTTTTTCTATCTTGCAACTAGTCTTTTCTGTTTTCAACGATGGTAATAAGGCATGCAAAGCACTAAGAAAAGCTACATCAAATTGATTTACATCACTATTAAAAGTGCATATCATAATACATACATTGTGATTAAAAATAATTTGTAGATTACTATTTACCTATATATTTTCTCTTTTTTTTTTTCTTCAAAATATCTAATACATTTGTAATTTTATGTTTTTTTTTCTATATTATTAATATTTATTAAATATATATTTTACAGTTTTTAGAAAAGCTAAATCGGCAGGAACGTGTTATTGAAGAAGTGAAACTTGTGTTGAAGCCTCACTATAACAAAAAACATATTACCAAAGATGAGTACAAGGATATCATGCGGAGAGCTGTACCTAAGGCAAGTAGTTACAGTTAATAAAATAATTTAAATTAATCTATAATCTTCAACCTATAGATATGTCACAATAAAAGTGGCGAAATAAATCCACAGAAAATACACAGCCTTATTGAAGCGTATGTAATCAAATACAGGCATGCACATAGGAAGCAAATACAAAGGGTACCAAATAAGTGAATTGTTCTATAATATTATTGACATAAATATATATGTGTACAGTGTAGCTTATTTTCAATAATATTTATAATTAAGCGAAAAGCTCAAATTTATTGTTACAAAATTAAATTAAAAAGAAACAAAAAAAATTAACAATTAAATTTTTATTTTGTGTTTTTTTTTTTTACCTCTGTGTATTATTGTATTATTATTTTATATTTGTAATTTATATTTTTTATTGATTTATGTATATTTTAAAACTTGACTAGGTTTTTCTTTGTCCCTTTTTAGACTACTGTGAATTTATTTATTATGTTATGACTTTTTACGACTTCTTTATTTTAATTTACTATAGAGTAAATTATTATTATTACTCTGTAAATAACTTTTATCTAATTTGTATATTAAATAATACCTATTTATTTAATTGAATATTTTGTAGTTTAATTGTTTTATATACAAAACTTATTAGTCATACTTATAGTGAAATATTGAAATAGTTGGGTAATATTTTGAAATTATTAGATGTATTCAATTTAGCCCGATTAAAAAAAAATATATATATATATATATATGTATATGTATATATATTTATTATTTACCAAACAAATTTTGTTTTTATTTTTATATACTAGTGCAAATTCTTTAAAACAGTTTTTTTTGTAGTTCAAAAATAAGATCTTTAAATAATTGAGTTTCAATGAGAAAAAATGATATATTGTATAAAAGTTGGAACGTTCATTTGTTTTTAATGTGAGTATTATTATTTTTGTATTTTAAAATTACGTTTTTCTAGTGTTGGAAATTTAAATATTTCAGTGATTTAACTCTTTTTATCGTAAGGTTTTATTAAAGATTAAGACTTTTACGTTGTTATCAGCTTAAAAAAAAATTAAGCTGTACAATATGACATACCAATTCAGGTTATTTAGTGATATACCAACATTTATTTAAATTTGTTTTTGATTCTGTAGAATGTATGTACCTATTTAAGAAGAGTTTTTGTTGATTTTTTTTTGTACAAAATATAATATAAAACCAATACCTAGTGTAATAAAGCTCAAATTTAATTTGTAAATTTTTTTATTTTTCTATGAGTAATGTATTATAATATTCATTATACCATTTATTGGAAATTTGGAATTATAAATAAATATACACAATGTCTCCACATGCAGGGACGTATTTACAAATGTTGCGCCCTAAATCAGCAATATTTATGCGTTCCTTTCTCTAAAAAAATGTATCAAAATTTGGCTGTTCGGGGAAAATGTCCCCAATGATCCCCCTCTTAAATACGGCCCTTCAACATGGTTAGGATACTACCTGTATAGTGTTAACCAGTGGTGCCGAACCCTATGCTTAGGTCAGGCCACAGCCTGACCACATTTTTAAAATGAGGCCGAGGATCAGAGGGTCCGATTTATGGTTTGCACTTCTCGTGAGGATTGTCGAACGGACTCTGTCGGATCGGTACGTATATAGATAGAACGGACACAAATGTGAATAATCTAAATTATCATATAATAAAATATTTTGCGGAACGGTACGTACCGTGTCTGACTAGTACAAATCACGCTTAATACTTATAATTTGAGAGCACAAATTATTTTTCTACGCTAAGTAAAATTGTAGGCTTGAGGCCGTTGTATTTTTGTTTGGCCTGAGTAAAATGTTATTATATTATGTAGGAATCAGAACTAAATATTTTATTGCTTATAATTACCATCATGCTTATTTGTGATCAGACGCGTACTGGGTCTATTTTTCCTACCGGGAAATTGGATATAATTAGGGCCCACTTAATATAAATACCAATAGAAATGAGTCTCATGTATCTATCTATACCTATCTACACTGCTGGATCTAGTATATTTTTTACCCGGGGCAAAGTATAAAATTAGCGCCCTTCCCCTTTGTTATGCCCACAATTATACTTATGTATCAGTTAAACTCTAAAGAAAAAAATCGAAGAGAATAAAAGAAAAAATAAATTTATTTGCTAGATTAGAAAAAATATGTATTAAATAAAAAATTTTAAATACAAATTATTACAAACTAATACATGAAAATAATTATTATACAATAATCAAACAAATTATCATTAAATTTTGATTTTTCTGCTTTTTTTAGCGACAAAATCGTTAATTATATCGTCACAATCTAAATTTTTGGCAATTTGATTTTCGGTTGAAATAATTGAATTTGATAGTTGTTACATGTCGAAGAAAATTAATTGATCAGTATTGTTAATCGGGTTTTAACACCATGTGTTGTCTGATTATCGTAATTTATAGTTTGTAGATATCCTATAAGCAACAAAATATACTACAATGAGTCGCAGAAAATATATTTAGTATACAAATAATATCCATTGGGTTTTTGAGTTTTTTCCATTATTATAACCATAAAGTGAAATGGAAATAGAAATTGTAATTTTTATAATACTTTTATTATGAAATGAATAAAAACTATTAATATATATATACATAACTTATTTTGTAATTTGGCGCCCCCCTACCAAAACTTTCGGGGCAAGTGCCCCAGCTCGCCCGCCCCTAGATCCGACCTTGCCTATCTATAACAATAGTCAGGTTGTCTATTCATTTATTACACAAAACTATAAAATAATCATAAACCTAAATAGTAAACCAAATCTACATTTTGATTTAAATGTTATATAAAAATAAATATATACACAAAAATATTAAAAAAAAAATTTAAAACGTCGTATTTATTATATAATATGAATAGTATGTTCTTAAAAATAATTCAATACAAGTAAATTAATTTATAAATAGTTGAGTAAAATGTTTAAAAACCAAACTTTCATTATTCTTAACATTTCTAAAACTATTCCATATAAATTGGTAACTTTATTTAATTTAACCGTCCGTATTTATCAATAACTAATAAGTGATTACTATATTTACTATATATTAATATATTGAGTGGACTAGTAGCGAATACAAGGGGGGGATGTGATGGTTAGATTCTCCCTAGGCCATTTTTTAAAAGTTATGAAATAATGTTCTTAGTGCGAGGGCGTTAGAAACGTAAAAAAAAATAATGATTTGTTTGCATATGATTCCTCTCCCATAAAAAAGTTATGTATACGCCTCTGGAGAGGACCATTAATGGCCGGCAATATAATATTTATAATATTTAAAAATATTTTTGTAAAATAAAATATATTACATATTTATACGTTCAAATTACAAATTGTTTTTATTATATATTATTAATCGATTACGACTAAAAATCTACTTTGAGATAAAAAAATCGAAATGAAAAATTAAACAATACTATACAATACAATACATTTCCTCTAAATGTCTAAGCCAGGTCATATGGACGTCCCGAAAATATTTTTCGGGACACCGGAACACGAAGTCCAAAACCGGTAACAATCCCGGTTTTCCAGGACGTATGGCAACCCTAATTATAAAATAAATGGTATAATATTAGCTATTAAGTATACGTATATTAAATTCCGGGCGTAAGCAATAGGCAGCGGGTATCACCTAGTCGTCGATTATACAGAAGAATAAAATAAAATGTAAGTTTATTATTTGAAATACGTTCATTTTATATGTTTTCTGTGTAAATAATTATACAATACCTTTTCTTCGTTTATAGAATATGTATATTTAAAATTTAAAACGTATATATAAATACTAAGTGTTGATAATTCCTCGTCTCACTTCCCAAAAAAAAAAAATATTTTTTTCAAAATTATATAGATAATTTATCTTAGATAAATATTTTTTTTAAAAAGATGGATGAAAAGATACTTCAATTTATTATCATCTAGATACGATAAAATGATTGATGTTTTTATCTAGATAAATCACCTAGATAATCCACAACACTGATTATTTTTTCTTTTCAAATAAACCATGTTAATTCTATTTTAACCATTTTATACAGTAAATTATATTACGTTTCAAATAAAAATCAATTAAAATCCTTTGTGTTAAATTTTGACGACCATTGGAATGTAAATTTTTGCATATGAAAAAGCTCTAATAATAAACTTAAAAGTCTTACTTTTAATAAGATGATAATACTCAAAATAACTTAGGTATATCAATAACGATGACATAAGATCAATATATTTTTTTTCGTGAAGGTGTGTTATTATGGTGACGGTACATAATTATTATTTTAATTTAAAAAAAATTTCTTTTGGTTTTTTTTATTTAAAAAAAAAAAATGTTTAAATAAATTAGTATATTTTACTTAATAATATACTGTAATAACGTTTAAAAATACATTTTTTAAATCGAATTTTAATATTTTTAATATGTATAACATTATAATAAAATAAAGTTATTTGATTAATTTAATTATTAGAAAATGCATTTGTAAATTATTCCTAGCACGTATTATGCAAAATATATTATAATAGTACTAAAAATCTACATTAAAAATAAAGAAATAAAATAGTGGTGTGAACACTGCGGCGCGACTGCCAACGAGATTTTCATAGGCGCGACCCCTAGGAGGTTAAGAGAGAACTGAAATGTTTGACGTGATCGGAAGAATCTTTCAAGACTATTATTTCAATATATATATCATTATCTTACTGTTTTTGTGTATCATTATAGGCGTTGAAAACGTTTGCAGAGCATTCAATCTTCCACGAAATTCTTGAAAAATTCCAATACCTGTTCCTTTACTTAAAGGATCGTCCGTTGTTGAATTACTTTCATCCCAAAAGATAATTTCATCAGCCATTTAAAGTTCTCGTTATACTCGTAAGTTTTACACAAACGTAGAAATCGAAATGATAAACACAAAGGTAAACAATAATCGAAATTGAAACATGACACTCTATGTAGGTATAACATTTTTGTCACATCTGTACCGAAAATTTGGTTTTCGTCCACGGTCGAAATGTTGGAATGTCACATTTATCCGTCCAGTGAGCTTTAAGATGGGAATCCCATAATGGTGGGCGGTAAAGTGGAAATCCCAAAAAGTGCGGGGGGAGGAGGGAAAGTGGAAATCCCTATAACACCGTGTAGTAAAGTGGAAATTTCCAAGAGCGCTGGCCGCGTACTCCCAGCACAACCAAAAACTTAAATGTATACCACG